GGGTTATAAAATTACAGGATTGGCACTTGCATGACCCTCACAGTAAGCACCTCCTCCAAATTTGCACTTTTAAAGCCTCACATGTCTCATGCAACTCCCAGCTCTGCTTCTATTCCTCCCCCCTCACATACTTTATTAGTTCTTCCTCCTGAAAAGCCCAAGTTGGCCATTTGTAGGTAGCCAGGCAATCTCTAGAACTTTACATTTCTCAAGAAGAAAGTGAACAGCAGCCCCCTATGGTTCACATGTTTGTGACATTTCCAACTTCTCTCATTGACTAAATCCTATTGAAGCCTCCTGAAACCTTAGTGCTCTTTCCAAAGAAATCAACTTAACAAATGCTCTATATTTAATATACAAAGACAAGATCCTTTTATATCCACAAAATACATGAGAAAATTAATAGCTAGGAAACTATTTTCCTAAAATTTTACCTAGTAAACTTGTAATTGTACTACTCACCTAATTGCATCATTGGTCTCTGAAACAGCTTTCAGGTACTCTTTCAAATAAAAATAATTAAACACATACTTCCGAATTTTATATCCTCGCCACCATCTCTGAATCTATTGATGTAAATAAAAAGATAAAAAATGCCATTGAACATTTTAGTAAAAACATTAATAGTTCTTCAAAATCAACGTAATTATGGCTGATAACTCACGTCAAATAAAGTCTTAGGCTTTTCCAATATATTAGTTAAAAATGTAGGTTGTATTCATAGACTTATTATATTAGAAAGATAACACATAATTATATACTATTAAAATTTATTTGTAAATATTGACAATCATTTCACAAAATAATAAACTGTAAAATTAACTACTAAAAGATTTTAGAGTTGCTCTACAAATTCCAACTATTTCCACTTCCTGGGAAAATGGATTTTTTTTGTTTTTCATAACCAACTGGCTTGAAGATTGTATTTGGATGCATTGAAATAAATATTTTAAATGGGCCTTTTACCTAAAGCCTCTACAAAAAAACTCTTAATGTTGGTAAATGATTTCAGCAAAGTTGCAGGATACAAAATCAACACACAAAATTCAGTAACATTTTTATACTCCAACAGTGTATTTCTATACTCAGTAGCATTTCTATACTCCAACATGCGGACAAAGAAATCAAGAAAACTAGCTCATTCACAATAGCCACCAAAAAAATAAAATACTTAGGAATAAAGTTAACTAAGGATATGACAAATCTCTATGACAAGAACTACAAACCACTGTTGAGAGAAATTAAAGAGGACACAAGAAGATGGAAAGATATCCCATGCTCTTGGATTGGGAAGAATTAACAATGTGAAAATGTCCATACTACCCAAACTGATCTGCAGGTTCAATGCAATCCCCATCAAAATTCCAATGACATTTTTCTCAGAAATGGAAAAAACTATCCTAACATTTATATGGAATAGCAAAAGATCATAAATAGCCAAAGCAATCCTGAGCAAAAAAAATTAAGCTGGAGGAGTAATAGTACCTGACTTTAAACTGTACTACAAAGCTATAGTAACCAAAAGGGCATGACATAGAAAC